TTCTTCTGGCCCTTTTGTGATATAGAAACCGGGCATCAGCACCATCAGCACCATCAGCAGCAGGCAACGTCACGTGGTAGCCGCCCCTGACAGGTGCTCATGACAGCTGACACCCAGATATTGTCCACAAATGACCTGTCAGGCTATGATGACTCTGTTGCTGCGGCGGTAGGTCAGGTCAAAGGTCAGGGGCGGCATACACTGGTAATTTAGGGTTGTGGCCGGTGAGCAATATGTGGAACTGTGGCGGGCGGGCTGACTGGCTGGCTGACTGGCTGACTGACTGACTGGATCCTCCTGACTTAATGTAGAGGGAGAAACGCCTCACCCCAGCCAGCCTCCCTTCACCCGTGGGACGAACTATAATGTTGTAAGTCTTAATGAAGTATAATACTCAATTTACCTAATGAGTTCACAAGCTCGGAGTAATAAATAAATATATTGTGGGTAAGAAAGTTTATATTTCAGGTGTCTCTTTGGAACTTCTTGTTAAAAACAAATTAGTGTAAATCTTAATAGTGCGAGCATACTACTACTACTACTACTACTACTACTACTACTACTACTACTACTACTAATAATAATAATAATAATAATAATAATAATAATAATAATAATAATAATAATTAACGGCGTATTGAAAGAGCATGGCAGCCGGGAGGCTGAAAATATAAAGTTACAAAATTTGGGAAAGGGTCTCTTGATTTACAAATAATATACAAGTAACATAAGTGATACAAATATGATATCTAATATATTATAGAACTAGGCGTCTGTCTGTCTGTCTGTGTGTCTGTCTGTGTGTCTGTTCTGGGCACCCGAAACGGCACAAACGTTTTTCATCAAACTTGGTGGAAGAATCGCAAAAAAATCGTAAAGTGGAACAAATCTGGTCCCATGTCGATGGTTTCTTTAGGAAGGCATTAATTAATTTTTTTATTTACTATGGAAAACGATGCAAGTCTACGGACTTGGCCCACCCTAATTACCCATGCAAGTCTACGGACTTGGCGCACCCTCATTCGCTGTACACTGTCACGAGCGTTCAAACTTTCACAAGGGCACGAAGGGCCCACGATCACTTGTATAATAACTGGGTGGGGAGAAGCTCAAACTACAGGGCATTTCAACATAGTGTGTGTGTGTGTGTGTGTGTGTGTGCGCGCGCGAGCGTTTTAGTTAATCCACTCAGAATCTGTTCGAACGTTGATATCGTATACCTAAATTTTTTTGTAATTACTTATCAGAAATCCAGGCAGACTGAATAATCATAGATTAATTACAATGTTACATAGATTATACTTATCATGCTTCGATTAAACACATCAGTCATTACTAGATAACCCCTCTGGCAACACACAGGGAGAGGGGGTGAAGATGATGATGAGATGAGTATTCACAAGTCATCTGCCAGGTAGGAGGGATGACAATTACCTGCCAGCTGTCTCCTACCTGTGGTCACTGTCATCAGCTTCACCTGCATGCCCTCAGTGATACCAAGTGTGTATTGTAAGGGTGGTATCATCTAGAGAGAGAGAGAGAGAGAGAGAGAGAGAGAGAGATAGAGAGAGAGAGAGAGAGAGAGAGAGAGAGAGAGAGAGAGATCCCTCATCACAATACTAATTCTCTAACCTCCCTCCCCCACGTCCTAGCTGAGCACTCCTCACCCCGCCCACACTGAATGACCGCCCACCCCACACAAATCACTGTCTACTCCGCCCTCACTGATGGCCGCCCACTCTCATAAGAAACAACCCGTATATATTATTTTACTATTAATTCACGACTTAATAACCCCTTACTCAGAGCAGGGCAAAGGTCATGTGGCTGACCTCAAATGACACAGTATTGTTCTCAACCACTTGTCTTATAATTAGAACTGACGTGACAGTAACTTTTGGTAACTGTCACATGTCGAGAACAAAAGTAGTTAGTTACAAAACGATTAAGATACCGTTAATATTTTTTTTCTTTCATTCTTAGGTTTGGTTAGGTTAGGTTAATTCAAATTAGGTTAGGATAGGTTAGGTATTTACTTCTTGTTTTTTAAGTTTTATCCATGTTCAATATATTACTGCTTGCATTGTGTTTTTGTCCATTTATTAATATATCTTTTAGTTCGTATATTTTTCTTCTATTTAAAGGGAAGAATTAAGTGTAGACGGGAAGGGAAATGCGACGTGGGTATATGGACTAGGGAGGCGAGGCATGGGCAAGGGAGATAAGGTATGGATAAGGAGACGAATCATGGGCAGAGAGAGAGAGAGAGAGAGAGAGAGCTGTAATAAATAAATAAATAAATAAATAGAGGGAGATTAAAAATGGGTAGGATGAGGGAAAGTGAAAAGGAGTAAAAGGGGCAGGGTAAGGAAGGTTAGAAAAGGATCAATAAAGGAGAGAAGGAAAGAGGATGAGTGAGAGGAAGAGAACTTCGGGGTATAAGGTATTGGGGATAGGGTGAGAGAGGGAGGGTGGGAGGGAGGTGGTGTAGGAGAGAGAGAGAGGTACAAATAGTGAAGATGAAATGAAAGAGAGAGAGAGAAGGAGGATGAGAGAAAGAGAGAGAGAGAATCATCAACAGACACATGTCCACGTCGTCACAACAGTCGTGAGTTTAAAAGGTTCCGGACAAGATAACATCGTGAGGACTGGGTGGGGTGGGGTGGGATGGGGTGAGGCGGTGAGGGGAGGTGATGCAGGGAGACTCACAGGAAATGGCGCCGGTCTCTCCCTTCTGGGTTTTAGAGAGGAACCCCCCAAAATCTACCCATGTTGTGGTTATTTATCGTGGAGAGTCGTGAGAGGGGTGAAAAGGGGTGATGGAAGGTCGTGAGGGGGTGAAAGGGGTGATGGGAGGTCGTGAGAGGGGTTAGAGAGGTGGTAGGGGTTCTGATTCGAAGTAGAAAGTCGTGAGAGGGATGGAATGGTTATAGTGGAGAGTCGTAAGGCGGTAGCTACTGTTGGTGTTAGTAATGTTGGTGGTGATAGAAGTGATAGTAGTGATCTTAATGGATTTAATGGTGGTAATGGTGCAGGCAAAGTTTGTCCTGATGGTGGTAGCGGTGGTTATGTTAGTGGTAGTGACGTTGGCTGTGGTAGTGGCGATGACCGTAATAATTGTGGTGGTTGATGGTGGTAGTTGGTGTGTTGGTATTGGTAGTTGTGGTGGTGATGAATGTTTTAATAGTGGTAGTGGTATTGATGCTGGTTGTGGTAATGGCTGGTGGTGATTGATGTGTCGATGGTGGTAATTGTGTGTATGTGGTGATGTATGCGTCAATGGTGGTAGTGACGGTAATGGTGGTGATGGAAGTGTCGAAAGTGGTAGTGATGATAATGGTGGTGTTATTTGTGCCGATGGTGGTAGTAGCACTCCTCTAAACTTAGGTTGGTTGTGTAACATGACTCAGAGAAGCAATACATCACCCTTAATGGAAAGTATCACTGAGGCAGATAGGTGTGACACAAGGCAGGTGTAGTATAGCGACTGCTGAGGTCAACTGCATCTGACTCAACACACGTCTCTGTCCTCGCCTTTGACCTAATTAATATAGCTTCCGTGACGTAATTAATATAGCTTCCGTGACGTAATTAATATAGCTTACGTGACGTAATATAGCCTCTCCTGTGACGTAATCAATATAGCCCCTCTCGTGACGTAATTACTATAGCCCCTCCCGTGGCGTAATTAATATAGCCTCTCCCGTGATGTAATTAATATAGACTCTCATGTGACGTAATTAATATAGCCTCCTGTGCCGTGATTAATATAGCCTCTCCCGTGACGTAATTAAATATAGCCTCTCCTGTGATGTGATTAATATAGTCTCCTGTGACGTAATTATAATAGCCTCTCCCGTGATGTAATTAATATAGCCTCTCCCGTGACGTAATTACACCTAACTCTCTTTACCCAGGCAATAAGAGCAGGACAGTTCTTCTACCACACTTGGGTGGGTAACTAATGCCAACATGCAGTTAATGCTCGTCAAATACTCTTGGTACTAACTTGGCAACTGGGTCTGGGTGTTGTTGGAGCCTCAACCAGCTGTGGGTGTATAGATAACGGGGACAATTAGGATTATCATCTAATAAGTCCTCTTAGGGATATCATCACCCTAGCTTATTTCGCCTAAAGATTAAACACCCTATCGTTAACCTTACCTAACCATAAGCTCCTCCATGTATACTCACACCTCTTATCACTCTACCAAGAATCTTCTCTCTTCTTCCGTATTATTTCTCTTTTCTCCAATCTCCCTTATCTTACTTTTCTCTCCTATTTGCTTCCCTTATAGCTCTCAATTCTATAACTCTTTCACGACCCTTTATTTCCCAACCTCACTTCTTTTATCACTTTTTTCCTCAATCTCTCTTCCTTTATCACTTTTTTCCTTGCCTCTTTATCTCTTGCCTCCTTGTCCTATTCTCTTCTCTCGTGTCCTCTTTCTTCTCCTGCCTCCCTCAAAAAACTCCCAATAAGCCCCAAGAACTTACCACCCAGCAATATAAAACTCGACACAATCTCTCCGCTTAAGGGGGAAGACCATTTGATGAAATTACACCGTCGGATAACCATCAAGATCGATTTAGGCCAAATGGGTTGAAGGGAATTAGTCGCTATTCTGATGTAATTGAACCAAACTGGTGGAGCAATGGAAGCCCTGATAGCGTTGGGTGGCCGCGGCAAGAAGCTCTGGATCAAATCTGCCTTAATGAAGCGCTAATTGGTCCAGGGTTCTCTACGAGGCCTCGGCCCCACCAATAATGTTTACGTGCTGTTGACAATTGACTTACCGCTATGATCCGTTTTCTTGTTCTTCGTCGACTACTCCGTCTCATCTTGCGGGATAATACTGTTCGAAAACAACCATGGTCGATTTTAAGGGCTTACGGGGATATACTGAGTGCAAGAAACTTTAAAGGGTAGGAAAAATATCTCATTATATCACAATCAATTCTGATCAAAGTAATTCAACAGAGCCATTAACTCCATTCACCAATAGAAACGTTAAACCTCTCTAGGGCGGAGCGTGAGGATGAGCGAGAAGCTGACTGGCTACTTGTGGCTCGTGGGAGGGTCTTGGCTCCGCCCAGTAGACTCCAGCCAATCAACGTACGGATGTTTGGTGACGGCCATTCGTGAGCATCAGAGCGCTGAAGCATCTTCATTCTTCATGATATAGCTGAAGCGTAAGCATTAGTGCCGTGAAATCGTGTCAGTTAGACAATATCCTCTTCAAAGTCGTCAGGAAGCCTTCAGCCGCTACGTGTTGCTGCTGTCTGTAACTCTGTGGCCTCCGAGAATGTACTAAGATTCTCGTCAACATTGGAATAAAAAGTGCAGGACGGTGTGATGCAGCCATTCCGTGTGTCACCGGAGATGTTGGACGGACTTGAAGACAAACTGCAGCTCTTAGGGGGCCACCGGGTGCCTGTGAGTCCCCCTTGTAGCCCACCCGCCCCCAGCATCACACCTCCGTCACCCACACCGTCACCAGCCATCCAGGACGAGAACAGCAACATCAAGAAGGACATACCTATAGGTAAGCAATTCTCCATGTATGAAACAATGTGCTGTGTTAATATCATTGTAGATGGTGAAAATAAATGCATCTGGAAGTGTTTCAAGTATGAGTCAGTTTCGTGTCAACAAGTCTGATATTTAATCTGACATTTTTCTTTTAGGAGCCACAACGCCGATTATTTCTGAACCACAACAAAAGATTCAACAGCCGGAAGCGTCGTCATGCTCCGGAGGACAGTCAGCGGCGGAGCTGCGGCGGTACAGGACAGCCTTCACCAGGGAGCAGATCGGTCGCCTGGAGAAGGATTTTTTGAGAGAGAACTACATCAGCCGCCCGCGACGCTGTGAATTGGCGCAGGAGCTGGGACTGCCTGAGGCCACCATTAAGGTGCAGTAATAGCTGTTGTCTGAAGAACTTGAGAAATACTAAAAATATTTTTAGACTATCATTTATCTATATTAGTTTGATTATTTTTATAATATTACATGTTGGAAAGTCAGTAACGAGTAGAAATATAGTAACACATACTGCTTGTAATGGTAGTGTGTGTAACCATTTACACACATTAAATATAACTTTAGAATATATAATTCAGTGTCCTTGTGTCCGTTTCGGCAGGTGTGGTTCCAGAACCGGCGGATGAAGGACAAACGTCAACGACTGGCACTGACTTGGCCTTACGCTGACCCTGCCCTCACGGCCTACCTGCTGCACGCCGCCGCTGCCTCGGGTGTCTACCCGCCCTACCTGTCGCCCTCCTTCACCCCTGTCTCCCCCTGGGCTGCCGCTGCCGCCCAATTCGGGGGTCCGCCGCCACCAGCGTATACCTCCTCGCAGTTACGGTTCACACCGTACCCTCGCCCGCACCCTGCGTCCATCCTCTCTCCGCCTTATGCTATGCCTTCCGACGTTCCCATCCCGCCAACGTCCGTCATGGCGCCCTCACCCGTAATGCCGCGCCCTAGCGGTCACCTGCCTTCCTGTCCCGCCCGCGACTCTCCCAAGTTGGGTGGTGATGGGTGTTTGTGTGGCCTCTTCTACCCCAGCCTGGCCCACTCCCTCACGCCCACCCTGCCTAGTCCACCTGCCCACCTACCCTCCACCGCCTCTGATTCTGTGCACTCTCCCGTTCCCGTCAACAACGACACAGCGGGTCGCTGCAGCCCCGTCAACAGGCCAGCGACGTCCCCACAGCGGAAGGCGCCGCCACGCTCACTGTTCAAGCCTTACCGGGATGATCTGGTATCATGAGGCTGCTCCGCCCTAGTCACCCTCACCTGTACAGTCTGTATCATATTTACTTGTATAAACTGTTGTAATAAACTTGTTAATGTATCAACTGTTTTGTACACCTGTGTCATCGCTGAACCTTTGATTAAACTCTTGATATTTACAGAAACGTTTTTATAATGGGCTATTGTGAAATATTTTGATGGGTAAAAAAATCCAAAACTATATATTTGTTTCTGGTCTGGAATACTGGTGAAATATTAGAATAACTCAGACACTATAACCAGAGTTGTCACAGCAGACATAATAGATAACATCAGTGAGCTGTTATTGTACACGATGATAGTGAATGACCTTATGTATGGTGCATCGTGAAATAAATGCATTTCCTGACCCAGACACACACAGTATTGCATAATTATGGCTTGGGAGTGAGTGAGCCTGTACGGTCGGCGTTGAGGGGAGGACAGTGCAGCTATAGGCTATGTTAGGTATTTTGCCGAGATGTTGCAGATCATTTCACACTGTATATACCATTACAGTACATATCAATAGTATTTTATAAGTCATGAGTAGAGTAAACACACTACTGTCGTAAATAGATATATTATTAACTCATTATATAACTCAGTATTATTTAGTAGTACTCTTTCTGTGACGATTACAATAATGAATATAATTAAAATTGTTTTTAGGCAAGTATGATTAATGGTAGTGGGAGAGGTATCAATATTTTAATTACTGTTGATACCACATACACACATGTGCTTCTTTAGGCATACATATAACTGTTGTAACGCTTCTCCTAATATAAATCATTACTTCAACATTGCGTTAAGTTTGGTCCTATTGTTCTTGTCCAGCCTCACCAAAGACAGAGGGACATGTAAACCACTACACATCAGAGAAAATTATCTCAGTTTTCCATGAACGATTCTTACTAAAAGGTCTTACAGTTTTTTAGTATTGTTATTAATCTTTTTCATTCTTTTTCTTTTATGATTTAATGTGATCTATATTATTATTACACTATTTATTACTCTAATACTAATACCATTTTTATCACTGTACCTTCATGACTGCCAATGTAACTGTGAACACAACTACACTAACATATGTATATCAAACAGAACAACGTTACCATGCAAGACGATAACTAGCCCCAAATGCAGCAACAACATTAATAATATTAATAATGTTCCAAACACATAACCATAGAAAAAACAAGACCTATTGTTGTACTAGAGAGGCCGGAGTATTAGAGTACACATTGTAGAGCCACTATAGCATAGGGTAGCAGAATACTCGCATAAATATCATATTTGTTGAAGCGCAGTAATGAGTAACCTGAGTTAAGTGTTATGTTCCCATACAACACACGAGAGTTTGCTTCACTTGGTTCAGATTCTTAAAGAGTCATATGATAGTATTTTAACTCATGATTTGGGACGAAAAGTGCATCCTGTATAGTGAAGGATGAATCTGACTGTAATTTGGACGTCATTTTGTCATAGTTATAGTGTGTCAGTCATGGGTGTTGAATTCCAGCTGCGTGATAAAGTGATGTATGGTCTGTTGAGAGTCGGGGTCATCTGTACTGAATTGTCGACACTTTTTTAATCACCATCTTTGTTTCGTAGTTAATATGAGGCAGTTAGTTGCTTCCTACATCTACAGTTAGAAGAAAAGTTTAACATAGAGTTCGTGTTAGCTCTTCCTTGTGTTGTAACTTAAGTCTAGTGAAAGAATTCTCACATCTACAGGTATATGGAAAAAAATCAACGTACGAGTTAAATGTATCCCCACAATTCCATCTTGGTGTTTAGCCCTTGAGAACATGACCCATTACTTCTCTGGGGTAAGGCTGAGGCTCTACAACCCGGAACTCACCCCCATGGTAATGGTGATGTTCCGGCCCGCCTGGGAACCGAACCCGCACACCGACACTCACTCACGCCTCATTCACCCGCGGCAAACACAATTTGAACGCTTTTTGTGCCCAGGTCCTGTAGGAGGGTGTTTGGGTACACCTTGACGGCGGGCTGGACGACCTTAAGGGTAGGGGGCACTTTTTTTTTAGCTGTGGGTATTTCCAAAGGTTTTTCTTCAGTAACTGTTGGTGAGGAGAAGCTATAAGGAACATGAGCAAGGAAGTGGAAGAATGGCTGTTGCTGTTGTATATAATTTTAATAATTTACATATATATGGAATAAAAACAAAATCGATTGATACTTATACAGTTAATACACCTTATAAAATAAATAGATACACAGTTAACACAACATACGCAATAGATAGACACTTACACAGCTAATACAACTACACATATCTGGCAGCAGCTGACCCCTGAGAGGGTATGAGTCACTCCCTCCAGCTGGTGTCAGGCACGTCACTTCTTGATCCTGTCAGGTATAATGTATATATTTACCTTTTACACACGTTAAGATAATATTAGGAACAATTAATTTTAACTTCGATTTTTTTTCCTGTTGAGAAATCTGTATGATCTTGTTAAATAATAATAATAATATAACAATAATAATAATATAATAATAATAATAATAATAATCCTTGGATGATTTGATATTGTAATTATATTTTCGCAGCAAAACTGGAAAGTGTTATTGATTTCAGCAAGCTAAGAGCATAATTATGTGTGTGTGTGTGAGAGAGAGAAAGAGAGATCCTAAGCTGCTTCTCTATCTTCTCTCCCTCACCATTATCATCTGTTTACCTATATTCGTTTATTCTTCTGTCTTTCTCTGTATCTTCAATTCTCTTCCTTTTCTTATTCTTAATTTTACTTTCTTTCTTCTCTTTCTCAATACACACAATCGTCTTCTTTTGGAACAAGAGAGAACTAACGACGGAACACAACAAACTCTTGGTAGATGGTCCCCCCACCCTCCACCCTGTCGACTACGGCAACATCCACACCTTGAGGCAATGATAATAAACTACCTTACTAACTGCCCTACCTGTTTCCCCATCATCTGACAAATACACACCACCTTGTTTAAAGTCCTCCTCGACCTATGCCTTAAGGGGACACCAAGGATTCCGGGATCTATATTGTCAGAGATTCTTAAGCTGTTATTATCCAAAAGAACCAAATATAAGGGATTTTGTTTATGGTAGTACAGGTGTAAGTTTGATGCCGTTTTAAACCATATTGTTGCGTCAGAGTTAAGTTGCATCTGTTAGGGGAAAATCGGAATAAGAAAATCTTAACTTAGGGGAAAAAAATGACCGTGTGAGTTTTAGGGAATAAGAAATGTGGAGGTGTAGCGGACCTGCCTTAAGCTCGTAGTTTTATGAGGGTTAAGTGACAACAAAGAGCCGAGACTCGAGTGGTGGGCGTGTGGAAGCCGGTGGGCAGCCGAGACACAGTCGTGGTCACCCAGCTTGTGTTGGTGCCTGGCAGGGGTATTGGTGAGCCCCCAGGGTGGTGGTAGTGGTACTGGTGGGTTGTGGTGGTAGTGTAAGTGGTCTTTGTGATGGTGGTTGTTGTAGTAGTGGTGGTGGTCTTTGCGATGGTGGTTGTAGTAGTGATTCTTCTAATGATGTTGTGATGTTAGATATGTTAATGGTGTATGTGTCAAGTGGTATTAGAAAAGTGATGGTGAACCCCGTGATGTTGGTATTTTTACTAGTAGTAGTAGTTATGGTGTTTGTGGTGGTGATGGTGGTGGTAGTAATGATGGCGAGGAAAGAGTAAAGATGGAGATGGTAAAGAGGCAATGATATAAAAATGTTGGTGGAGTGTGAGAGGGTAATGGTAGTGATGGAGAAGAGGGTAGTTAATGGTGGTCGTAGTGGTGATGGTGGTGGTTGGAAGGACAGGGAATTAGTAGCGCTCGGTGGTGGTGGTGTGGTGAGGGAGGTGACCCCCCTCACACACACACACACACACACAAAGCCCCGGGGTGTTGACAGTGGAGCGTGACGTACCGACCTTGTTCTGGGATAGTGGAGAAGAAGATACAGGGGTAGTGGTGTTCCTCAGGGTCTACCACACCAGCTTACTTCCCTGTTTGTTTACTAATATGATAACATGATACTTAGGTCCATTATGTCTTTCTCACGAAGGGTTCTTTCTCTTCCTCTCTTCTGGTCTTTCTTCCTATTTCAGTTATGTTTTGTTCCTTCATCTGTTTTTTTTCTTATCCAAGAATTGTCGGTATCTTTGTATATTCTTTCTTCTGGTAATCTGGATTTTTATTTACATAGATGTGTCTGTAGATTACTTTGGCATTCACTGATTACACAAAAGGATTAGTGTAAAAACAGTATATAATATATTCTTTCCCTCCCCCTTCCCATTTTCCCCTACCTCGTCCTTTCTTCTACCTCCCCGTCCCATCTTTCCCCTCCCCGTCCCTTCTATCCCTCCCCGTCTCATCTTTCCGTCCCTCCTCCCATCTTTCCCTTCCCTGCCCTTTTTTCTCCCCCCATCCCTCCTCACCGCCTCCGTCCCTTCTTATTTCCCTCACCTACCTCTCTTGTCTCCCCCGACCCTTCTTTCCCTCTCCCGTCCCTTCTTTTCCTCCCCCCGTCCCTTCTACCCCTCCCCCACACACCCCACGGAGAAGTAAGGATAAACCTCCCCCCTCCCTCACACCCCACAAGACCACAGAGGCCCAGATACCAACATTCACGCCTCACCACACAACATACACCCTCATGAAGCTGTAAGAGGCCGCAACCAACTCTAGAATTTGTTTTAAAAAGAGAAAGTTGAGGTAATACTCTTGGCTTGCCTACATCTGTCATACAAATCTTACGGGGTTTTATTACTGTTTGGTTTAGTTTGGTTTACAATTATGTGCATGGATGGGTGTAGGATTTTTCTCTGTTTTTGAATGGGATTTTTAACGCATTTGATTTTCAGCTGTACGAACCATTTCATATATTCCTTTTCGTCTCTCTCTCTCTCTCTCTCTCTCTCTCTCTCTCTCTCTCTCTCTCTCTCTCCCTCTCCCACAACAGTAATTAAGGGACAAAGCTCGACGGGTTTAGGATCTTGATGTATCTTGACTCAGGTGTATAAATC